ACTGTGGGCCCTGAGTTTGAGGGAGCTCCTCACTCAGCTCTTTTCTAAAATGTTCTCAGTGCTTTTTCACCTTTTGTGTACACCTTTAGTGACTGAAAGCGCCTCATCTGGAGGGATCCTGTGCAGCTTCAGATGTAATTATGGAAGTATTTTCCATATAGGATTTGGCCTTTCCACCACAGAATGAGCCTCATCCCAGAGTTAGGTCCTCAAACTCATGCCTGGCAGAAATCACAGAGGAGGGTAACTTGTATTTGGGAATCCCAAAGTTGCTGAGAAAGTATAGTGTGGATGTTTTTATGTATATAATCATACACAGGCTTTATGCATATTAAAGGCTAAGATGCAGTGAACTTTGCTAAAGGAAGAAGCCTGGGAAATAAATGATGTAGTAATAAATTATTATGTCTAAGGCTTCAAGTTATTTTGCTTTTTAAAAGTTACCTGCTCCCTATTAGAGTTGGGGATGATGGAGTATTCTCACATGTTTCTGCTTCTGTACAGTTATTGAATTCTATTTTTACATTAAGCCTCTGTTGCATTAATAAAGGCATGTAGATGAGTTGTTGACTATTAAGCTAGTATAAAGGATGTTGTATAGAACATGGTCAGTAAATGTTTGCAGGTTTGAATGTAGATTTTTGCTTCACTGAACTGACAAACACTTGTCTTGGAAAGTTATGGGAAAGAACTTGGCCACCTGCTTCCTGTCTTTCCATGTCTTGGTATTTCCTGTTATGGCTGTACTTAAGCAGCTGTCACTTTTTTTGTCCTTCAGCATTGGTCACATTTTACCAGAGGTCAGCTTGTAAGTTAAATGGGTATGTGATGTAACTATTATTTCTGTCACATGACTGTTAAAAGTACTTGAACATTGTACTATGACTTCCATTTCACTTCTCACTTTTGAGGGATAAAGTTTGAAATTTCTTTCTTTTTTTTTTTAATTCATTATGCTGGTGGTTCTTTGTTTATCTTGTTTCTACTTTGGTGCACTGAAGTAATTTTAAGGTACAAACTCAAATTTTATTACCTTATTGAAGCCTTCCCTGAAGATTCTAAACCTCCATATTTCTAGTATACTTTTAGCTATATTTGTTTATTTTCTTATTTTTGTATTTTACACTTGTTTCATGAGCATTTGCTTACTTCACAGTGAGCCAATAAGTTTCTTAAGGATGAAGATTGTATTTTGTAGATTTTCCCCCTCCCCCCAGAATAGAGGGTTGGGAATTGAATCTAAGGGTCTTTGCCCTGAGCTATATCCCTAGCACTTACTTACTTATTTACATTTTCTTTTTCTTTTTTCTTGGCGGAACCGGGGATTGAACTCAGATCCTTGTGTTTGCCAGTTAAGCGCTTATCCTACTGAGCCATCTCCCCAGCCCCTTATTTACATTTTAAGACAAGGTTTTGTTAAGTTGCTCAGGCTGGGCTTGAACTTGCAATCCTCCTGGCTCAGTCTCCCAGAGTGTTGTAATTATAAGGTATGTGCAATGATGCCCAGAATATTTTATGCATTTTTGTACTCTCGATGTGGGAGGCTCAATAACCCCAGGCCTCCAATCCTATTCCGAGTGGGTTTCCGGATTCCTCTTCCCCTACCTCTGCTGAGCTAAGCTCCTAATTCTTCTTACCCCACCTATTTCCCATAAGTCTCCTGCTATGCCCCGGAGGTGGGACTTCCTGTCATAGCCCGGTTGCCTAGTTACTCGCACCTTTTACCCGCCGTCATTTCCCTATGCCTCCACTCTATATACCCAGAGTTTCCTTTGAATAAACGAGACTTGATCAGAATCCTGTCTTGTCTCCATTTCTTGCGTCTCCTGTCCTTTGTGGCCTCCTCAATTCCCCGCTTCTCTCCCAGGTGACCTTTGTAGACTGACCCGCTGGTTCAGGACAAGTGGCACCCAAGGTATGGGGCACCTGGTACAGAGATTCAGCGACGGAACCATCCGAGAGAGCTGGCAAGAGAGAAAGTAAAAGAGGCCCACGCTGCAGTTGCCTGCTGCGACGTCTGAACCTCGGTAAGCGGACAGAACCCCTTCCCCCTTCCCTTCGGCAATGGGACAGGCATTAAGTGAACATGAGATATTTGTAGAAAGTTTGGGCAAAGCATTAAAGGCGCGAGGAGTAAAGGTTAAGGTTAAACAGTTATGTGAATACTTTCAGTTTATACATAAGGTGTGCCCTTGGTTCCCCTTGGAGGGTACGATTGATTCTAAAAGATGGTTACGGGTGGGAGATGCCCTCCAAGATTATTACAGGGTCTTCGGACCGGAAATGATCCCTGTAACCGCCTTTTCTTTTTGGAATCTTATTAATGAAATTCTCCAAAAAGGCACTGGGATCCCCTGATTAAACAGGTTGTTTCAGAAGGGGAACAAATCCTACAATTATTGGCAAAAAACACGCCAGGCTTCCTCTCAGGCAAACTCTGACTTTCTCTCCTCCTCCTCCGAGGAGGACCGGGGAGTTAACGACTCTTCTACACGTTCCCCCTGGCAAAGAGGCTACTGAACCCATTGCGACTTCCGACTTCCGAGCCGCCCACTGCCCCCGAGGTTCCTAGTGTATACCCTGACTTGCCCGCCCTTCAGAGTCTAACACTTAATAATGGTAGCTCTGAGGAGGAAGCTGTTGATTGGAAAACTCTGGGTGATGAGGCTGCAAAATACTGCTCGCTATCGCCACAGATTTCACTTTCTCAGAACTTAAAGGAAAAAGGGGCATCTTCTAACGTGATTAAGGGGCTAGAAAATAAAGTTAGAGACCTCTGAAAACAGATTCAATTAGAAAAACAATGTTTTAACCTTGCCCAAGAGCTTGCAGTGATTTGCAGTAAGAGGACTGACCACGAGGCATCCACCATTTTGCCCCCCCTTTCTTCTCAGCCAAATCTTAAAAACAAAATGGCCGCCAACTGGGTGTTTCTGGTGACTGAGACACAAGGGGTGGGAAATGAGGGGGAACAACCCCAGACTATTAGAACGCACACACCTTTTGATCTCAAACTGTTAAGAGTTAAAGGCTGCTGTCACACAATATGGCACCATGGCTTCTTATACACTTACTGTATTAGACTCCATGACTCAGGGATGGCTCACCCCTAAAGACTGGTATACGTTAGCCAAGGCTGCTTTGTCCGGTGGAGATTACTTGCGCTGGAAGTCAGGGTATCTAGAAAATTGTGACTCTACAGCCAGAAGAAATGCAGAGGCTAGAAATGGTTGGACTTATAAGATGCTAGCAGGTGTGGGGGACTTTTCCACCACCGAAGCTCAATCTAGGTATGATGCAGGCCTTTTTGCTCAGATTCAGCTGGCCACGACCGGAGCATGGAAAAGGCTGCCCTCCCATGGGGAGGCTACTACTTCCCTTACAAATGTGAAACAGGGCCCAGAAGAGCCATTTCCAGATTTTGCCCATTGGCTGCTCCAAGCCACTGAGAGACTGTTCGGTAGTGTAGAGTCTAATTCTGATCTAATCAAGCAACTGGCTTTTGAGAATGCAAATGCAGCCTGCCAAGCTGCGATACGCCCTCATAAAAAGGGATCTGACCTTTCGGGTTACATTTGTCTCTGCGCAGAGATAGGGCCAGGCTACCAACAGGGCCTTGCCATGGCTGCGGTACAACAAGAGTTCACCATTAGGCAATTCCTCTCCCAAAAGGATAAAAATAAATGTTTCAGTTGTGGAAAGACCAGTTAAACAGGTAGATCAAATCGACCAGATAGAGAATGACCTCATAGATGATTCCAGGGACTCAAGTGCACCCTGAGAATATTTTTGTGTTTCCTTACAGATAGTCATCTACAATGGATCCTACCACGGGGAGTTTTCGTAGTTCTGGTCAAGACCATCGATGGCGGCTTTGGGACACCAGCATCCAAGGAGGACCTACTCAAATCCCTTTATGGTAATCCGTGTGATTGTAAAGGAGGCATGTCCTCAGAATTATCCCCTCCCCCCCCACATATGGCATAGGCCTTGCAGGCACCAGTGGTGCCCCCTCTGGCAAACCCTCCTTAATGATGGGCTTCCAACAAACAGATTGTGGGTCAAAAGTAGCTCACCTTGCCATCCAGGTAACATCCCAATATGGAAAGCAGACTGGTTGGAAATGCTATATTGAGCCAAAGTTTGTGCCCCGCAGCGAGGCCCCTTCGACGTGCCCACAGAAATGCACTACTTATTATACCCAAATGCATTCTTCATGCTACATGGAAGTCGGAGAATGCCTGGGCCCTAACAACCAGACTTATTTCACAGCCACCTTACAACGTTTACAGCCGGCTCCTGCCTTGGGAGAATGGTCGACTATTCCCCAAACCTTGGGACCCAGTAAATACCTACAGGCCTCGTGCACAGGCACGATAGGGAAGCCAGTTTGCTGGAGCCAGAGCGCCCCCATTCATGTTTCTGATAGAGGAGGGCCCCAAGATTCTCTCAGAGGATATTTTATGGAAAAGAGATTACAAGAGATCTGTGAATGAATGTTCCCAAAGATCCATTACCATCCTTCAGCACTCCCCAAATCACATGGAGCTAACATAGATACTCAAACCTTAGACATTCTTAAAGCTACCCATCTTAGGACCCCTGATAACTCTCTTACTTCTGGTTTCAGTTGGCCCATGCATTTTTAGTAGGCCAATGGCTTTCATTCGACAGCAGTTGGATGCGGCCTTGATGAAGCCTATTCAGGTTCATTATCACAGGCTTGAGATGGCTGAAAGGGAAAACTGCGCTGGAATACAACCAGCTTATGATGATGAAGGTCTGGAGACCACTTAGTTCTCCCACCCTTGGTGAGATGGTCAGGCTAGCCAGAGACGGGTAATGAGGGGCATACATGAGACACCACTCACCGCCTAAGACAGGAACGGGACCTTCTGCCGTCCTGGTCTCCTATGACAGGTAAGGTTTGAGTCAGGTCCGTGTAGAGGACGCCTCGACCTAAGACAGGCACTGCCCCCTCAAGGGAATCAGCCGTCTACAGAAGCCATACTTTACACACATATATAAAAGTAAAGGGGGACCTGTGGGAGGCTCAATAACTCGAGGCCTCCAATCCTACTGCAAGTGGGTTTCCGGGTTCCTCCTCCCCTACCTCTGCTGAGCTAAGATCCTAATTCTTCTTACCCCGCCTATTTCCCATAAGTCTCCTGCTATGCCCCGGAGGTGGGACTTCCTGTCACAGCCCTGTTGCCTAGTTACTCAGCTAAACTCCTAATTCTTCTTACCCCGCCTATTTCCCATAAGTCTCCTGCTATGCCCCGGAGGTGGGACTTCCTGTCATAGCCCGGTTGTCTAGTTACTCACGCCTTTTACCCGCCGACATCATTTCCCTATGCCTCCACTCTATATACCCAGTGTTTCCTTTGAATAAACAAGACTTGATCAGAATCCTGTCTTGCCTTCATTTCTCGCGCATCTCCTGTCCTTTGTGGCCTCCTCAATTCCCCGCTCCACTCCCAGGTGACCTTCGTTGACTGACCCACTGGCTTGGGACACTAGATGCATTAAATAAAGTTTCAAGACCTGGAGATGTAGCTCAATGTACAGCGCTTGCCTAGTATGCACCAATACCTGGGTTTAAGATCTAGCACTTGTCTTTTGAGACAGTTTCACTATACAGTTAAGGCTGGCCTTGAACTCATTTTGTAGCCCAGCCTGGCCTTTAACTCAAAAGTAATCATCCTGCCTCAGCTTCCTGAGTGCTCAGATTATATGCCTGGCCTTGGTACCTAGTGCTTAAATAAAGACACCAGTATGTAGTCCATCATAAATGTTATATTTAAAAAAGTAAACTCTATCTATTGAAGTTACAGAAATATTATGAAGATAATACAATTTCTGTCTACCCTATAACCATTTTGCCCTTTTGGTAATATATTAGAGTGGTCCATTTGTCATAATTAATGAACCAGTAAGTATACATTATTACTAAGTCATACTTTATTCAGATTTCCACCTCCCCCCCCCCATATACCTTTCCTATTTCAGGCTCCCACCCAGAAGTCCCCTGTTATGTTTAGTAACTGAACTCCTCTTGGTTGTGATGACCTCTCAGTGCTTTCTTGGTACTTCTGAAGATTACTGGTCAAGTGTTTTGTAGGATGTTCTTTAGCTGGGATTTGTCTGATATTTTCATGGTTGAACTGATGCAGATCTTGAAAGGACTTGTATTGATCCTAGCTTGAGGTCATGTATGTGTAATTTTACCTCTGTAAGGTCATTTCTTTTTCTTTTCCCTCTGTATTCTGTTCCCTTTGGAAGAGAGTCACTGTGTATAGCCCACACAGGAGGGGCAAGTTCCACTCTGTGTACTTAAGGGTGGGATCTATGTCAATTTTATTGGCTGGGTTATTTTAGATTTGGCTACAGGGAGCTCTTTTAGTTGGTTTCTGTAGTCCTTTTCGATGGATGAGATGGGGTCAAAATTATGGTGAATCAAATTTAAAAATCTATTATAGCAGAAGACACATTGCCATTTAATCTTTTTCCCTCAAAATATACCCAGTTGCTTCACACACTTAATCCTGTCACTTTTGCCACTTTCTGAAACAGCTCTAGAAGCCCTTTTCCGTGTGTGTCTCTAGTTGTTGGAGCTACCTGATGCCCTGAATCAATTCAAAACATTTCCCTTCCTTGGAGATTTTTTTTTTTTAAAGTTTATTTATTTGGTGTGTGTGTGTGTGTGTGTGTGTGTGTGTGTGTGGCCAGCTTAGCCCACCAGGGGGCGGGGCTGGTTGGCATGTGGTGCTGGGGGATCGAACCGCGGTCCTGTGCTTTGCTAAGCTTGTTCTAAGTAAGTGCTTTAGACCACTGAGCCATCTCACCAGCCCCTCCTTGGAGATTTTTAACTTTGGGGAAGAGCCAGAAGTCATAAGATACCTGATTAGGTGAATGAGGTATACTTACTTTGAAAAATATATATATTTAGGACAGGGTCTACAGGGTCTTACTAAGCAGATCTGACTCCTACTGATTCTCCTGTTTTCAGCCTCTCAAGCTCTGGGATGGGGCCCAGCACAGCCTGGAATTGAACCCCAGCCGCTGTGGTCTGTCTAAGTAGGCACTTCAATCTACTGTGCTATCTGGCTGGCCCTAGGTGAATAAGGTAGATGAGGGCACATAGTCATGTGCTTATGAACCTGTCTTCTTGTTGGATGGCACTCCACAGTGGTGCTCTGTCATTTCGATCACACATCCTAAAAGTGCTCACAAAAAGGCTTTCAGTACTGCTGTAGAAAGTGGCAAGCATAAGGGCTGTGTTTGAAGTGATAGGGAAGATTCTGAGAGAGATTAATCTGCCTTTCATGCAAAATGTCTTACAGTAATACTTTAAAAAACTTTAAATATACACTATGTTTTGATCAGCCTTTGGTTTATACTTTTGTCATTGGTTTATATTTTGATTACTTTTTTACTTTGCAATCTAAGGTGCTTTAAGGCTCATCTTATGTATATTTTGCTCTGGTCCCATGATTACTCATTCTCCAGGGAAACCTGGTTCCTTTTGCTAGAGAATGGTATACAAAGCTAAGATTTGGGAGTTAGGTGTGTTTATTGGCACTGAAATGTTTTTGCTTCTAGGCTCTCAGCTGACAGCAAGAATATACCTGTGTGCATGTCAATGTGCACATCTCCACATACCCATAGATACTTGTATATATATTTATGCCTGTGTGGGGCTGGGCCTGAGTTCATTACATCTTCAGCTCTGTTACATATAGATTGTTCTAACCTCCACTTTGCTTATTTGCAACTTTCCACTTTACAGTGAGAAACCTGGCTCCCACCAACCATCACTCATTTACCTCCTCCTGTACAGGCTTTGTCCTCTGTGCGCTTGGGGGTACTTCAACTAGAGAACAAATTTTTAGGTGCTTCTTTCTGCCTTTAGTCTTACAGCTTCTGCTAATTTTCAGCATTTCTTAGGTCAGTGCTTATTTCTATCACCTTCTGGAGGGGTTCCATGTAGTTGTAAAGATTTAGGTGCTTTTGTTAACATTCTGCATTCTCTGCTGAGATTCTTGTACTTCCTGATTGCATAAGAATTTGAATTTATTTAGATTTATTCTTTGTGCTTCATTTACTTATTTTTATTGTGTTTTAAAGTTCTGTAGTTTTGATGGATTTTTAATATCTTTATTACAGTACCTTCCAGAATAGTTTCTCAGCTCTTAAAATTTGTGTCTCTGCTGACCATGGTGGCACATTCCTATGATCCCAGCCCCACTCTGGGAGGGCAAGACAGGAAGATAGCAAGTTTGAACCAGAAGTAGGCAATGTAACAAGATCTTATTTGAAAAATTAAAAGAATAAAAATAAAGAAAGGGATGGATATGTAGTTTATACAAAGGCCCTGGGTTCAATCCCCAGTTCTGAGGGGAAAAAAAAGTCACATGTGTTTACTTCCCACACCAGTCATTGGAATCACTATGTAATGTCTTTGTAGTTTTATCTTCTCTACAATCTCAGGATATTCCATTTTAATGATTTACATGATTTTTTTTATGAACAAAAGTTTTTTTGAAGAAGTAGCAGATATAAATACTAGATAACTAGCATTTGGAAATAGATTTTTGTGAGCTAAAATTCATATAATATAAAATTTATCTGAAGTGTATTGTTAACTGTTTGAAATTTTTGTTCAGTAGCTTTAGTACATTCACAATTTTTTTTTTTTTTTTGTACCAGGGATCAAATGTAGGTGCTTATGCCACTGAGCTATCTCCCTACCTTCTCATTCACAACTTACTGTTGTTGTCATCTTCTCCATTTTCTCCTTCTTTTCCAC